TGCTGGTGCGCAACGGGAGCTTGCTGGACCGGGAGACTCGCTCCATCTACTACGCCAACCTCCAGGCCAAGGATGGGGGCGACCTGGTGGGCACCACCGTGCTGGAGATCACCGTGCTGGATGCCAATGACATGGCGCCCGTCGTCATCGGCTCCTACTTCATCTCGGTGGAAGAGGGGCAGAATGTCAGTACACAGATCCAGGTACGTGCCAACAGAGGTGGGGGGGTTGACAGGGCTGTCGGAGGGATGGGACTGTCCCCAAGGTGCCCGGCAGCCCTGTTCCAAATGCTGACCTTTTCAGGCCATCGACAATGACGAGCCTGACAGCCCCAACAGCAAATTGGGCTTCATGATCTTGCCAGGACTGTTCAGCGACAACTTTACCATCAGTGAAGACACAGGTGAGATGCACAGCAAGGAGCCGCTGGACTGTGAAGCCTTGGAAGATGAGCGTGGACAGATGGTGGTGACAGTGATGGTGTATGACCACGGCAAGCCACCGCTGAACACCACGGTGAACGTCACCATCACCGTGGGGGTGAGCCCTGGGCACAAGCAGGGACATGCTGGGGCAGGCCGGAGCTTGGAGCTGGGATGGATGGGCAGGGTGGGGCTGTGGAATCCCTGGCTGTGGCAGAGGTGCCGTGTCTCCAGGCTTTCTGTGGCGGCAGAGTGAACAGCTGATGCAGGGAGGCAGGAGAGGGCTTGTGTAGCTCCTGCCTGTGGGCAGGAAGGTGCCCACACTCCTGTCCCCAGCTGGCTGTGGGGAATCCTGTTTCCTGGAAGGGTTACAGCCGTGGGCTTTGTCTTCTGCAGGACCTGAATGACAACATTCCCGTGTTCCTCAACCAGTCCTATGAGTTCTCAGTCTTTGAAGACTCTCCAGGTAGAAGTTGTATGGCCAGGTTTGTGGGACCACCAGTGGCCCTGAGTCAGTGCCCACTGTCCACTCAGTGTCTGTCTCCACCTGCAGGGTCCTTTGTGGGTGAGGTGAATGCCACAGATGCCGACCGGACGGAGATCAATTCCCGCATTTCATTCCGACTTGAGAGAGGCAGTGGCTCCAGCAACTTCTTGATCCGCTCAACCCGCCTGGGGCCGGGGAACTACAGTGGGCAGCTGTCTGTAGACCCTGAGATGTCCCTGGACTACGACACGCTGCAGCAGAAGTTCTTCACCCTGACAGTGCTGGCAGAGAACACGGCTGCAGACAACGCAGGGGACAAGGCCAACGTCTCAGCGATAGTCCACATCCTCGATGTCAATGACGAGTCCCCCACCATCCTGCCAGGCTCACTGCAGGACGCGTCGGTGGCTGAGAACGGGACACAGCAGGGTCTGATCCACACACTCAGTGCCTTCGACCCTGACACCAACCACTCGCTGGTCTTCGAGGAGCTGGCGGTTGCCTGCTTCAAGGGGGACAGCAGTGCTGAGGACGTGTGCTGGGACTGGTTTGTGCTGGCACCCAATGGCTCAGTGCTGGTGAACAGCTCGGACATCGACTACGAGGTGTGTGACAGGGTCCTGCTCACACTGAGGGTGGAGGACCTGTACACTGAGAAAGGAAACCGCTACAGCCAGAACGGTACGGCCCCGCTGCCCGCGCCTTCCACCACCACTGGGCATGGCGGGTGCTGGGAATGCCTCTCCCACCTCCCACGGGAAGCTGTGGGCAGCAGGGCAGGAGCTGGGTGGTTTGGCCACAGAGGGAAGGTGTCCCCAGTTCTTTTGACCTGAGCCTTTTGGGAGGACAGAGCTCCCACAGGTGCTGCAGGGCTGCTCTGTTGGTGATCAGAGCTCTGCTTTTGGGACATTTGCAGAAACCCTGAGGATCATCATTATTGATGTGAATGACAACATGCCAGTCTTCGAGGCCATCTCAGAGACTTTTGGTGAGCAGCTGGGGTTGGCACATCATGTGGGCTCCTCGCTGCACCCACGCATGCCCTGCCACATTCACCAGCAGCAAGGATCTGCCCCAAGCCCGGGGCAGAGCTGAGCAGTGCAGGGGCCAGGCTGGGGTTACTCAGTGCTTTCCATGAAGGCTACGGGGCCAAAGGCAGCAGTGGGTGCTTGGAACCCTGGGGCTGTGTGGGCGTGGGGTCTGCAGCAAGTCTGGCTGCTCACCAGCATGATTGCACCATCCATCTGTCTGTTCCTGGCAGTGGTTGTCCCTGAAATCTCTCCTGTGGAACTGCAAGTGGCTACTGTGAAGGTGAGGAGCTGCCTACCCATATCTGTCTGTCCGTGGAGCCTTGTTCACTTGTCCCCACCACGTTCAGGCCATTCCCACCCATGTTCCTGCCATGCCTATCCCTGCAGGCCACCGATGCTGACTCAGGGCTGGGGGGAACCATCACCTTCTCCATCGTCAGCGTGGTGCTTGTGGAGGACAACGGGGTCAGCCGGCCCTTCGAGAACCTCTTTGGGGTGTCCACAACACCTGACAAGGGCGCCTACATCGGGAGTATCCGGTGAGGCCGTGGGTCTGGGCTGGGGTGGGAGGAATGCAGCTCAGCTCCTGCCTCCTGCAGGGCCAGCACGGGCTGGAAAGGGGACACAGCCTTTCTGGAGTCCTGGCTAGGGATGGAGGTAGCTTGAGGGATGGCAGGGGGACATCCAGTGGGATCACTGATGTCCCTGCCCTCACAGAGTGGCCAGCAACCTTGATGAATCACTGAAGGGGCAGTACAAGGTGACAGTGGAGGCTAAGGATGGTGAGGAACCGGTGCACAGAGCACAGACCGTGCTGAGTGTGAGTGTCACCCCCAACCCCTGGCCCAGGACGCCACGTGCCCAGCCCAGCTCCTCTCACCCCTGGTCCCTCACACAGATCTTCACGGTGGATCAGAGCTACCGCGTCCGGCTCCAGTTCGTGACAACGGTGGAAGAAGTCCAGAGTAACTCCGAAAATATTAAATTGTAAGGGGTGCTGGGCTGGGGCTGGGAGTCCACAGCTGGACCCGCCAACTGTGTCTCTCAGCTTCATGGACTGTGAACAGGGTGGACCAGGCAGGTCCCCAGCAGAGGAGGGGGCTTCAGGGGGTCCATCTGTTTCCCGTGCCCATGAGCAGAGCAGCAGGATGTCCAGCCCAGCTTCCCCCCCTCTCTCTTGTTCCTAGGGCCCTGACCACCGTGACCAAGGCAGCAGTCTACGTGGTGGCCATCCGAAGTGTGGAGGACACCCGTGACACCCAGTGAGTGGTGGTGGGCAGGGGGACATGGTGGTGGCATCAGGGGTGTCATTGTGGGGCACCATGCCCTGCACCCCAATACCACAGTCCCCCCATCTCTGTGAATCTGCAGCGTGGATGCCAAGTCAGTGATGGAGGCCTACTTCGTGTACAGCAATGGCACTGCCCTGGATGTCAACGACCTGAGCATGTGAGTGCCGGGGCTGTGCACGGGCACTGCCACGTGCTGGAACCAGCCCCGCTGCTCACACCTCCGCTTTCCTTGGCAGACTCATACAGTCCGACCCGGTGGGCTTGGCTGAGCTGGTGAAACTGGGCCTGGCTGTCATTGTGAGTGGGGCCAGGCAAGGGGCACGGGGAGAGGGCAACAACCCCTTTAGGGCTGGCTGGGGGGGTTCCACTGGCTGGAAATGTGCCTTCACCCCTGCTCTGTTCCAGGGCCCCGGCGAGGTGACAAAGCCCACCAAGGAGGTGGAGCTGATTGGCATTATCGCAGGACTGGCAGCATTCCTGCTCATCTTCATACTCATCATGACCCTGGTTTTGGTACTCACCACCAGGAGGTACTTCACTGACCCCCATCTACCACCCCCCACTGCCCTCATCCTAACCAGCACCCCCAGACCCATCCCTATCCTCCAACCCGCTTCTGCCCACCCCATCTCACAGCCCAGCTCCTCCCTGCCCCTCTCACCCACCCCACCCCTGGGCTTTGCAGCTACAAGAGGAAGCTGAGTGCCATGAAGGCTCTGAAGGTGGCCACAACATTCAACCCTGCAACAGCACAGCAGGGAGCTGGCATCCCTGGGACCAACCAGTACAATGCTGAGGGGTGAGTGGGGGGCTCCCTGCAGCAGGTGGGGAGAGACCAGGCTTGTCCCCACATCCAGGGGCTGCAGCACCCCAAGGGGCAGCACTTACCTGCCACCCATCCCTGACAGGGCCAACCCCATGCTGAACCAGCCGCTGGATCCCTCCCACGACCTGGGCTTCCACGAGGACTCCATCTCTGTGACCAGGTGAGCCCTGTGGGCAGGTCCCAAAGGCCACAGGCTGTCACCTCGTACCTCACTTCTCCAGTGCCTGGGTCCTTTTTTACCTCCCACCCTCCATTCTCCACAGCACTAATTCCCTGGATGAAAATACAGTAAATGCACCAGCAGATGACAGCTTTGAGGTTGAGGTGAGTGTGCAAAGAGCTGCCAGTACTTGGCAGCTGGGAGTCCTGACAGAGCACATTGCATCTTCTCTCTGCTGTGGTCCCCAGGGCCTCATGGACCCCTTGTGTCCTTTACTCTGCACCCCTCAACAGCCCTCAGCTCCTGGGAAGGACGGGTGTCCCTGCCCTACATCTCTGTTCCCATCCCTCCTGACCACACTTTCCTCCTGCAGCAGGTCAAAATGCAGCCAACAGATCCCACTGACAAGGAGGTGCTGGTGGCTGCCCTGAACCTGAAGGAGCCCACCAAAACAGCATATCTCAACACCACCTTCACCACCACGGACCTGTGAGCAGGCTCACAGGGTGCAGCGGGGCCAGAGCAGGACTCAGGCAGCTGCTTCAGTGTTGATATGTTCAGTGTCTGGCAATAAAACTGTTCCACGGGGGTCACAGTGTCCTGTGGTCAGCAGCACAACTGCCTGGGGGGCTCAGTCAGCTTGGAGTCATCTCTCCCAGCATGAAGTACTGGCTTTGGGTCAGCTGGTGCCAGAGGGGAGGTGCCACTGTGGGGCTCAGCTGGGCTTTTGTCCCCAGGACCCTCCCTGTCCCAGGGGAGGGAGGTGCAGGCAGCCCCTCGAAGAGGTTTGTGCAAGGTTTTATTACCCAACATCCACAATGACAGATTGATCCTCCCGCCCCTTCCTCCCCCCACCCCACCCCAAAAGAAATGAAGGGAAAAAAAAGAAGAAAATAGGTGATGAAGCTGCAGCACTGGTGTGCCACAGCTTGGCAGTGCGGGGCTGGAGGTGAGCACAGCCTGGGGCAGGGTGGCAAGGGGATGCCCCAGGGCTCCTGGTCTTCCTGGCATGGCCATGGCACTGGTCCCACAGCCCAAGGCACTGAGCAGAGCCAAGTCCCAGCGAGTGCCACGGCACAGAGTGGGCACTTGCCACAGCCCTGGCTGCCAGCTGGCACTTCAGCAAGCCCTTTGCAGCCCCACAGGGACAAAACAAGCCCAGGACGTACAGTGTGGGTTTAGGTGGGCAGGACTTTACCTTAACGAGGGAAAACTGCTGCAGTGGTGACTCTGCCACCTTGAGCCCTCCAGCACTTCTGCCCAGAGGGGATGGTGCAGCTCTCCAAGCATCCCTTGTTTGCAGCCTCCTGCCCATCATATGCTGGACACAGGCCTGGGCACCCCTTGCTGTGGCACTGTAGGGCTGGTCCTCCATATGGGGCCAGGCTGGAGGAGCCAAGATCCACGTCTTGGTGGGACACTGAGGTGCTGCCAGCCACAGGGATGTTGGCCCAACCACAGGGATATTCACCCCCCTTCAGACTGACCCTTCACTCCCAACGCTCTTCAGCCTAGCAGAGCTCAGGCAACGTAGAAGCAGTGTTTGAAAAGATGGACTCAGCCCCACAGGCCACCATGGGGAAAGTGGCTCCAGGCAGGACGCTCATGGCTGAAAGTGTCTCTTAAAAAGCTTCAAAAATGCAAACACAGTTCAATAAAAGTTCCCCTCCCCCCACCCTGTAAAACCCCAGCTGTAAAAAGTGGCAGCGTTTTTGCAGTGTCCCCAGCTGCCATCGGAGAGAAGCCAGAGGGCCCAGCGGGACTCGTGCCCATGTCCCCATGTCCCCAGCACATGGGGCCTTTCCAGCACCACTGGGGCAGCTGGACAGGCCTGGAAGCAGGGCAGGCTTCATGTCCACCACCAGCCGTGGTGAGGATGTGCTGCTTCCAGGCAGGTGGAGCTGGGGGCCATGGGGACAGGCTCCCAAAGCACCTCCAGCCACAGTGACAGGGATGAGCAGCTGTGCATCACACACATGGCTGGCCCCTCTCTCTCTCACTTGACATCTGTCCTGCTGCCCTGTGTGGCCACATCCTCCCAGCTCCAGGGCACCCACAACATGGCAGTGCAGCAGAGAGAACAGGGAAGTTGAGGGATTGGTGCTTGCCATGGGTGGCTGCAGGACCCACGCATGCACAGCCACAGCCTTGTTGGAGTGTGGCCAAGCCCTGGACAGGCAAAGCAATAGCAGGGCGATGCACCAGCGTCTCTCCAGCATGGGAAGTGATGCTGCTGCTTGGGGTGCCAGAGTTCAGGGCAGCCAGCAGCACACACCCTGAGCCATCTTCAGACCTGCGCCGTGGGCAGGAGACACACAGGAGCAGCTGCCTCCATCTGGAAGGAGCCACGTGCTTCCTCGTGCTGAAAAAAGCCACCAAGCACAAAGACAGGGCACCAGTCTCATGTCCCAGGGCACGTCCATGGGGCTACACCCATGGGGGAACCCCAGGCTGACAGGGAGGACCCCAGCAAAGGAGACACCTTGTCCCAGTGTGCAGTGCTCCATCACCAGCACAGCCCTGCACACTGGCACCGGGTGTCTCAGGACGCCAGGGCAGGAACCCATCCCCATTTCCTCCGGAGCAGCCCCGAGGCACCCCCACCCTGCCAGCAGCTCACTCCATGGCGGGGCCGGCGCGGGAGCAGCACCGGGGCCGCCGGACGTTCTGCAGCAGAGCCCGAAAGACGCTGGGCTGCCTCTTGGCCTCGCCTTTGCGGGGCCCTCCCTTGACGGAGCCGGTGCGGGTGGTTTGCGGGGTCACCACCACCTGCCGCCCGTGTTCCTCAATCTGCTTCTCCAGGTGCTTTTGGATGGCCATGCCCAGGACCTCCACCTCCATGGAGGCCCCATACACCTCCCACGTCATCCCCTTCTCATCCCAGCTCACCTCCCGGATGGGCTCCGGAGGCTCCTCCTCCACCACCTCCGGCACCGTCCCCTTCACCTGCACCTCAGGATACGAGGTCTGCGGGGACTTGGCCACTGGTGTCATCGGCCCAGTGGCCACTGAGCGGGTCTCCACAGGCATGGACACCTGCATCTCCGCGTCCTTCGTGGAGGGCTCGAGGCATGGGGCTGCAGAGGCTGTCTCTCTCTTGGGGAAGGTGAAGGCAGCAGCCCCACATGGGGGGCTCATGGGGCTTAAGGCCACCGACACCAAGGACACACGGCTGTCCACCTGCGTCCCCATGTCCTGTGTCCCAGTGTCCTGGGGTGGGGTCACTTCAAAGGAGTAGGATTCACAGAGCTGCTTGGCTGTTTGGGGCTGCTGGCTGCTCCCAGCACCCACATCCTGGACCGAGCTCCTCTCAGCTGTGCCCTGGCCCAGAGCAGTGGAGCTTGGTCCTGCCTCACTTCGACCCCCAGTCCCCACAGCGCTGGTGCTGGGGGGGTCTGCTGTGCATCCCTGGGGGTGCTTGGGAGCCTCACCGCTCTTTGTCTGGGGAGCAGCACCCTGGGATGTCCCTTTGCTGTTCTGGGGCTGCTCCTGGCTTGGAAGCTCAGCTGTCCCGGTGCTTGCAGTGGGCTCCACAAATGCCACATGTTTGGCAAGAGCTGGCATGCTCCCCGTGTCCTTGCTGGTTGCCTGGAGGCAGGGATCAGAAACAGGGGAAGTGGGGGCTGCATCCTCCTTCTGGGTGTTGGGGACCCCCATCCCTGTGGGACCACAGGCAGAGGCAGCACCACTTGGTCCTCCGCAGCTCCCTGTTGCTACTGCCACGCTCTGCTCTGTGCTGGTGTCCTGGAGAAGTGTGCCAGGAGCTGGTCCTGCTGGTGATGGCACCTTCTTCTCTGCCACTGAGTTGGCCTTGGTGCCCTGAGACTCTGCCTCAGCCCCACAGCAGGTCCTCATGGCACGGGCCCCCGCGGCACAGCTGGAGCCGGGCAGGCACTCTCCTGCCCCTGGGCAGCCAGGGGAGCTGGCACTGGGCTCACAGGCGTCCTCGGCCCCAGCCTGGCAGCTCAGCACCTGCAGCCCCTCGGGCTCCTTAGCGCTGCCCATGCCCAGGGAAGGCTTCTCCCATGCTAGTCCCACCACGGGTCTGCAAGAGAGAGGATGGGGCAGTGAGGAGCAAGCAGCACACGGACCCCCAGTACACCTCAGCTGCTGGCTGTTTTTCTCCATGCCACCCCTGACAACAGGTTGGGCGGCCACCTGGAGCACTCACTGTCCCTGGCACAGCCTGTGTGGTGGCACACAGTGCCCAGGCACATGGGAAGGGAGGAAAGGAAGAGTGTCACTGCCTACCGTAGAAGTCAGCCTTCTCCCGGCGCAGCAGGACCGGGAGCAGGATCCAGGCACTGCTGCGGCTGGTGGAGCCGGGGACGCGGTGCAGACACCCCTGCAGAGAGAGCGTTAGCTGGAGAACTGTCCTGGGCACCAGGCTGAGAACCAGGAGGCTCAGCAGCCCCCTCCTGTCAGTGGGAAGCTGGGCGCAGTCAGGGGTGAGAGCAAACTGGGCCTGGGGTCCAAAGGAGGGTGCAGAGAAGGGCAGGAGCACAGGGCAGCCCAAGCCCTTCCCTCTCCACGCGAGGGGAACACGGTCCAGTGGCACCTGGCTGTCCCCAACCCTTCCCAGCCCCATGGGGCAGAAGCCGCAAAAATTCCGAGAACTCCCCAGCTCTGGCAATGCCAGGGACACCCTGCAGAGCGTGCGTCCCGCAGGCGTGGAGCACTCCGTGCCTCCGGACACGGCCACTCGTGGGTCCCGAAAAGGGCAGAGCCGAGCGGGCACAGCTGGAGCCGAGCGCGTTCCCACGAAGGGAGGCGACAGGAGCGGGGATCGGGCGGTCACCGACGTGCCCAGCAGTGCAGAGCCGGGAGGCGATGATCCCCGCCCCGTCTGTAGGTTCCCACGGAGCACCCCGATCCCCGGAGGGCCGGGCCGCCCATCACCCCGACCTGCCCCGACAGCACCCCGATCCCGCGGGATCAGCACCGTGCCCGGTATGGATGCACCGCGAAGGAGCTGCGAGCCCCGGCACACGCGTGTGCACACGCACGGGCACGCACACGCCAGCACATGGCCACGGGCACACCCGCACGCACGGACACGCGTGTGCACGCCCCGGCCCCTCTTCCCCGGGCGAACCCCGGACAAAGCCGGCCCCGCGGTAGCCCCGGCCGGGGGAGCCCGACCCGCCCCCGCCGCCCGTCCCGGGGCTGCAATACCACCCCCAACCCCCCCACCCCGGACCCCCCCCCACGCCCGGGGTGCCGGTACGGGGCGGGCACGGCAGCGCCCGACCCGGTCCCGCCACGTGCGCCCCGGAGCCGCCGGTACCTGCGGCGGATCCTCCCGCCCCGTCCGGTCCGGTCCCGTCCCGCTCGGCTCGGCTCGGCGCGGCGGCGGCAGCGGCGGCGAGCATGCGTAGGGCGGTGGCGGCGGGGGCGGTACCGTGCCCCGGGCCGCTCCCCCCGGTGCCGCCCGCCCCGGCACCCCCGGCAGCGGTGGGGAGACGGAGGAGAGCCGCTGCCGCCTGGGGAGTGGGGGTCCCGGCACACCGCGTGTCCCCCGGTGTCACCGCTGTCACCACAGCGGCCTGCCCGGGGAGCCCCCCATGGCCCCACAGCCCCCCCGGTACCCCCAAGCATCACCACGCCGCGTGCCCGGGGATGAGCATCCCGGCACTGCCCGCCGCGCTCGGGCACAGCGGGACACATAACGGGCACCGGAGAGTCAGGGGATCCCAAACCGTAGCGTAGGTCCCGCGGGTGGGAGTGACAGCAACACAGAGCCCAGTCCCTCTCCTACCTGGTGATGGAGACGCTCGCGTCCCTCCCGGGCATTACCGAGGACGGGGCTGCGCCCCGGTCAGCCCGAGGGACCGGGACAACGTGCCAGCGTGGCGGGATGGAGATGGGCTCCCGAGCACCCCTCGGCGGAGGGTGGGGGAGGACGGGGAGGGAAGAACGGCCCCGTCTAGCTCCCGGCAGCGCTTGCCTCTGCTCCCGGGCTCAGGCTTTGTCTAACTCCTTCCCACGCACTCCCGCTCGAGCTGCGGGGGGGAAGGCGGCCTGCTCGCCTCACCTGCATCCTTGCAGCCCCCCTAAAACCGCCAGCATAACCCCCAAACTTCCCACTGCCCCTCATCACCCTATGGGACCAGGCTCCCCTCCCCGACCCAAGAGATGTCAGCACAGAGACACGAGCTATAGATCTATAGGGTCGGAGGGGTGGGTGCTAAGGTTAGACAGGTTTCCCCATCTTGGAGATAACGTTAGCACCAGTCTCCCAGCCCTATAGATCTATAGGGTGAGGCTGGTTCCATGGGAGCTGGCACACCTGGTTGCTTGGAGACAAGGGAGGTTGGAAATGCTTCTTTCAGTAAACAGCCAGCCTGGAACAAAAACCCGAAGGCTAAAAATAGGGAGGCAGGATATGGAAATTAAATAAAAATCCTTGCCCCCCTCCCTCTCTGGGGCAGAGCGAGGCACCGCAATGTCACCAACGGGCACTCCAGTAGATGGCTGGAGAGGCTGGAGTGGGAGGTGTGTCCCTGTACCCATTAATGTGTCCCCTCCTCAAGGTGTTGGTCTGCGTGCTGGTCCCAGTCCTGCAGCGTTGAGTGGACCCTACTGCACACCTGCAGCGGTGGGGGAACTAACCCACGGTGAGGCACAGGCGTGGGGTTACATCCTGTGGTGCCCTGTATGGAATCAGACCCAGTTCCCAGAGCATTCCTTTTCAGATCTAAGGGACACCATGGACTGGGGCAAGTCCTGGCGGAGGAGGGCAAAAACGCCCCCTGGCCTCTGGCGGGACTTTCCTGCAGGCAGGAGGCTGCGGGGTCACATCCTGCTGCCATTTGCTTCCACCTGCCTCTCTTAAGCTCCGCCAGCAGCGTCTCTCCCCTTCCCCATCGACATCTTGCCACCAGAGACATCCCACCAGAGCTGGCTGGAGGTTGGGGAGGTTGGGGGGAGGGGGGGTGGCCACGGGGAGCATCTTTCCCTCCCCGCAGCAGGCAGCCTTCATCCCAGGCTGGCTGCCTTCTCCTCCTCCTCCTCTCCCCGCCCGGGCACCTCGGGGCTGGCAGGAGAACAATAGCGAGGAGGATGAGTAAGATGGTCCCCATCGCCTTGGCAACGCGCTCCCGCTCTGCGGGCTCGGGAGGAGCCCGGCAGCTGCCTGAAGAGCTCCTTCCTTCTCCCTCGGCGGAGGGGGTGCTGGCGCAGGTAGCGGCTCCCCCTCCCCGGGCACCGTGGCCCACCTCCCACGCCGCACGGGCAGCTCCACGTGAGGCGCACCGGGCTCCCCCGCCGCCGCCGGAGCCGCAGCGGCGGCGCACGGCTCAGCCCCGGCTCGGTGCCCGCCGGTGCCAGGGAGCGCTGGGACACAGCTGGCAGGGTCTGGAATGTGACCCCTGCATCGCTGCCCGGAGGGAGGGAGAGGGGTTCCTTCACGCACGGCTGCCCGCGGCATCGGCGGGCAGGGATGTTCGGGGTTCGCAGATGGCAGTGGCAGGGGGTGCCCAGGGGCACCAGGATCCCATCTCCAGCCACAGCCATGTGTCCCGTGTTGTCCCCAAGTCATGTCACCAGCAGGAACACCCTCATCCTGCCCAGAGCTGTGAGTGCCTTGGGGTGAAAGGATGTTACCCAGAGATCCAAAGGCACCAAGAACCCTAAAAACAGCACTGTTTTCACAGCTGCCTTGGTGTGGCTATGCTGGGGGGGATATCTAATCCCTGCCAGCACCTCACGTCCCAGATGCCCCAAAACACAGCCCCTGCCACAGCCCCGTGGGATGGGAGAGCTGCAGCCAGGACACTGCAGCCTGGTGGCTGAGAACATCATTCAGGAGGTTCCTGGGTACAGACAGGGATATGGCCCCAGGACCAGCTGGGGGCAGAGGTAGGGAAGGGGGAACAGAGAGGCTCAGCTCTGCCAGCTGCTCTGTGCCACTGAGAGGGACCCAAGCACGGCATCAACCAGCCAGAGCTGGGTGGTGCCACTGGGCAACAACCTAGGCACACATTTCATCTCAGCACAGGCTGGGGGACAGCTCTGGAAAAGAACCAGCATAGAGAATCATATAAGCAATAAATGGTTTGGGGTGGAAGGGATCTTAAAAATTGAGTTTCAACATCCCTGCCATGAACAGGAACACCTTCCACTAGATGAAGTTGCTCAGAGTCCTATCCAACCTGACCTTGAACGTTTTGAGGGATGGGACAGCCACAGCTTCTCTGAGCAACCTGTGCCAGGGCTTCACCACTCTCACAGGGAAGGATTTCTTTCATATATTTAATCTAAATCTATCCTCCTTCAGCTTAAAGACATTCCCCCTTGTCCTATCACTCCACTCCCTTGGAAAAAGTCCCTCTCCAGCTCTCCTTAGGTATTAGAAGGAGCTCTAAGGTCTCCTCAAAGCTTCCTCCAGGTTAAACAGCCGCAGCTCTCCCATCCCGCCTCCATAGCTGAACTCTCCAGCCCTCTGATCATCAACACAATCATCAATCGCAACCAGGTGCTGCTGTTCCAGAAGAGCAAAACCCTTTCCTACAGTGCCTCTGTGTCTGTGGTAGAGAGGCTGGGACTCTTCCCCTCTCCTCTGCTTTCCCAGGGGTTCATTTCAGCAGCTCAATCCCCGCCGATGAAGGGAAAGCCCTGGCTGCATTAACAGCACACAATGCACTGTAGTGGGTAAGCACAAAGGAGCATAAAGCACATGGTGACTTGGCCATGGGATGGGGCCACGAGTCAGAAAAGCTCATTAGGTGCTGTGAAAAACAGCAGGTCTTTGGAAGTGCAGGATGCTCCCCTGGGCACAGATGGGTGAGGGCATGTCTTGCTGCAGGATACACCACCGGCAGCCTGAGATGCTGTTGTTGATCAGGAAGCGTCAAGCACCGTGCTCCTCAGATGCTGTGCCTGGGTTGTCATGGATTCAGCTCAGGCTGGTGGCATTTGTGGCAGGCTCAAGGTCCATACCCCATCCTGCCTTCAGCTCTGCCCTGCAGAGCCTTCCTGGCATTACCAGGGAGCCACGTGTGCCATGGGGAAGCCGTGGCCCCTTGCCTGGATTCACCAACATGGTCACGATTGCCAGAGTCACTTCCTCCCCCTGGGGAGCAGGTGAGCTGGCAGAGAACATCTGTCTGCCTTAGCCAGCCTTTTCCAGATGTTCCTTTTTGTGTTGCCATGGTGGGTGTGAGGATGAATCCAAGGAAATACTGGGTGAGTTCACTCCTCGTTTCCCTGCCGACAGCCCATAACTCACGCTCCATTTGCACAGCCTCCCTCTCCGATGTGCTCTGACGAGTGGGGGGAGACGTTTGTAGTGAGTAACACTCACCAAGCGACTGTGAAAAGCAGCTTGGGGCGGGAGAGGGGGGTGGACTCTGGTTTATGGGTCGGTGCATCTGACCGGAGACACGCTGAGGGAGCCGAGTGGGGATGCTCCCACCACTGCCTGCTGTGCTGGGGGAAGGGGCAAATCAGCAAGGGCTTAGAAGGGCAGTGAGCAAAGGGAGCAGGAGTTCACACATCTTTTTTTTCCATTCCTGAGTCCCCAGCTGCTGTGACTAAACTCCCTGGAGCCATTAGGCGGGGCAGGACAGCTGCTGGATGCTGTACTGAGGCTCTGTGATTTTTCCTGGGGCCTGTAGTAACAACTGTGTTATGTTGTTCTTGCACAGGAACACGAGCTTGAGAAACAAGGCCTTTTACTGTAGAAAAGGCCAGGAAGGAGTTTGTAGGTGGTGGGTTTGTCCCAGCTCTGTAAGCAGGGTGTGCTGGCAGCCAGGGGAGCAGGCAGCAGCTGCCTGGCCGGGAGATACAGAGGCTGCCACCATCACTGCCTGTCACTGTCCCTGTGCTCCACGGTCCCTCCACACCTTACTTTGTCTGCACTGAGAATTTGGAGTAGAGAGACCCTCAGGCTGGTCCTCCTACTGGGCAGAGGCCTCACTTGGATATTATCCTGTACTCCCACTGGGCTGCTCAGACTCAGGGAGGAGTGAAGGTTTCTCCTGCCTCAGCATGAGAAAGAGAGTTCAGTGAGTGCTGATCACGAGGCAAAGACCTCTACACTCCATCTTGGTAAGGGCCAGGGCAAAGACTCTGTGAAAGCCAAAGCCTTTCACCCCTGAGGAAATCTGGGTGGCACTGGGTTATGGGCAGCACCACACTTTGGTCAGGGGACTCCCTGGTGTGTCTGAGCCCATGACCAGTCCGTGGAAATCACCCAGTTCTAGATATGCTTTGACTGGAGCTCAGCAAATGAGTTGCAAGACAAGACGTGACTGATTTTTCTACCTCCACAGGGCCTGGGATTGGTGTGCTGGCTCCTGATGTCAGTACTTGGGGAGTGGGAGATGGATATCAAACATCTTCACCTGCTCAGTGGGGCACTGGGTAAACTCTGACAGCACCAGTTTGGAGCCTGAGAGCTCTGTGGGGCCCTGAGAGTACCAGCACGGCATTTTCTCCTCTCCTCCCGGGAAGGACCTTCCCCCTCTTTCCTGCAGACCAGGTCCAGCTCCCAACTGCGGTGAGGTGCTTCCCCCTGCTGTAACTCCAGGAGCTCCTGCTCTTAGCCAGGCAAGGCTGCCCTGATCCAGCGCCTGCAGCTGCCCATTCCCGAGGCTGTTGCCAGGGAGGAATAAAGTGGAAAACACACAGCTGAAGTGCTGCTGGCACTCTGTGCATCCCTCCAAGCCCTCTCTCCTCCCAGCAGTTCCCTCCCCTGTGGAAGAGGCTCTGAAGCAAGGCTGCACCCTGAGCTGCTGCCTGCAGCACCCTCAGGAATGGCCCTGTCTACGCTGATTCTTTTTCTTTCCACACATCCTTCTGCTCCGCTGATACAGCTGATACAGCAGGCAATGAGACAGCTGAAAACCTTGACTACTCTGTGCATAGTTCTGCTGAGTTTTGGGACTTGTTTTGCAGCGTCAGTTTTGCTTTTAGGAGCTGTACCAAGCTGGGTAAGGGCTTCGGGACAAACAGTGGAAAATCCTCTGTCCC